GTGTGTGTGTGTGTGTGCGCGCGCGCGTGCGGGCGGGCGGGCGTGCGCGTGCGTGCGTGCGTGTGTGCGTGCGCGTGCGTGCGTGCGTGCGTGCGTGCGTGCGTGCGTCCGTGCGTGCGTGCGTGCGTGCGTGCTTGCGTGCGTGCTTGCGTCCGTGCGTGCGTGCGTGCGTGCGTGCGTGCTCGCGTGCGTGCTTGCGTGCATGCGTGCGTGCGTGCGGATATCGTGGCCAGGGCCACGAGCTGTCCCCGATGTCATGGCCGCCACGTCTTCGCGCCGCGGGCCATGGTGCGCCGGCCCCCTCCTCCTGGCCTCCCCTGTTCGGCGCACCCGAAGGCCGAGGATGAGGAGGAGGAGGAGGAGGAGGAGGAGGAGGAGGAAGAGGAATAAGATGAAGAAGAAGAAGAAGAGGAGGAGGAGGAGGAGGAGGAAAAGCAGGAGGAAAAGAAGGAGGAGGAGGAGGACGAGGACGAGGAGGAGGAGCAGGATGAGGAAGGGTTGGAGGAGGAGGAGGAGGAGCAGGAGGAGGATGAGGGCGAGGAGGAGGAGGGGAGGTGGAGGAGGAGGGATGAGGAGGGATTGGCTTAATCCCATCCCTGCCAAGTCGGTAGTCGAGTCCGCTCGCGGGACCGCTTGGCTCCTCGAAGGGGCGGCGCGGCCGCTCTGTTCTGGCGGGCCTGCGCCCCCGCGGGGCGCGGCCTCCCCAGCCGCTTCACCTCGGGGGGGCGTCTTGCCGCAGAGGGCCCCGGCCACCCCGAGAGGTGGAGGGGGCGGACGACGACGGGGGGGCGAGGACGAGGACAGGGGCACGAGTGTGACAGGGAGGAGGCGTCGCCTCCGCGCCCCCCTCTCCCCTCCCCGGCCCCCCCAGCCCCCCCGGCCCTGCCCCGGGGGAGTCCTCCCCGTCCTCCCCCGCCTCCTCTCCCCCCTCTGCCTCCTCTCCCGCCTGCCCTCCTTCCCTCCCGCCGCTCATTCTCCCCCCTCTCCTCCTCCCCTCCGTTCCTCCTCTCGGCTCGTGGACGACGTGTGGGTAGTTCAGCAGATCTGAAGTTGCTCCGACCCGTAGGCAGCATTCCTCGTTATCTTCAGCCGATCGTTCCTCCAGCAGCGTTGGAGAGGCGGTCCAATGTCCAGCGCCCTTCTGCACACGCATGGGGCGTCACATGACTGGATGGCTCGGCGTCTGACCAAGACCTTGCCAGAGAGTGGGACAAAGCGTCTAAGGCCAACCTGCAAAAGAAACGTAGCATTGTGGGAGTCCTCTTCCTTCTCCGCCGGCCCTCGCTCTCGGGGCACCTGGTATATGACAGGCGTCTGTCCAGGAGGCGAGCCGAGCCAGATGAATATGTATCAGAGCTGCCAGGGGTGGTGGAGATGGTTGAAAAAGGTGATCCCTCCGTCCCCCTTCCCTCCAACGTGGCTGGGCCAGCAGCAGTCGCAGTGCTCGCTCAGTCGGCAGTCATGGTGCTGCTCGCACGCGTACATCCTGCTCACTGCTCAAAGACATGCGGCACGTTCCAGTCGTGCTTGATGGCGCTCGAGCTGTTGCTCGCACTCCTCGTGCTGCACACCAGGGTACTGCTAATCCCAGTCGTACTTGTAGCTCTCGTGTTGCCGCTCGCTCCAGTACACTGTTCACCGACGTGTTGCCAGTTCCAATCGTGCTGGAGCACCTCGTGCTGCCGCTCGCACTCGTACTGCCAACGCACTGCTAATCCCAGTTATCGCTTCACCTGTGGGTATGAAGGCTATTGGATGTCCGTTGGGATCGCGTGGGGGGCCTCTCGGGGGCCTGCTGGAGGCAGTTTGGAGGCCTCTTGGGAGCGTCCTTTAGGCCTCTTGCGGGCCTCTTGCGGGCCTCTTGGGGGCCTCTCCTCGGGGCCTCTCTTCGGGGCCTCTTGGGCGCTTCTTGGGGCCTCCTGGGGGCCGCTTGGGGCGGAAGGCTCGGGCTTTTCGGTTCGTGTTCCCTGCCTTGGGCCCCTTGGGGGGCCATCTTGGGGCCCTCTTGGGCCGTCTTGGGCGCCGCTTGGGCCGTCTTGGGCGCCTCTTGGGCCGTCTGGGGGCGCTCTCAGTCCGCCTTGGTGTCCTCTTGGAGGGCTCTCGGGCCGTCTTGGGGTGGTCTTGGGCCGTCTTGGAGCGTCGGAAAACAGAAAAGGCGAGAACGCCAAAATCTTTGAAAAACCGAGAAACAATCTATGATTGTTGCCTCTTGTGGCCCTCTTGGAAGGCCTCTTGGAGGCCTCTTCGGGTGCGTCTTGGAACGATCTTTCGGCGACTCGGGGCCCTCCTGGACCGTCTTAGGGGCCTCGTGGGGCCCCCTTGGCCCGTCGGCCCGTCTTGGGGCCCACTGAGGCCTTGGAACGTCATGCGGCAAGATGCGCCGGAGCCCAGTGGGTACGCGGGAAGCCCCAGTACAGTTCGGAACTTTGGGGTCCGAGCCCCGTAGAGACTCTTCAGAACTGAGGACTGAGGCTCCAGGCAAAGGACCTGAGGACACGCCCACTTAGTGCCCAGAGGCACGGTGGCGGATGTCGGGAACACTTGTGTTCACAGACATATTGCTAGTCCAAAGTGTGTTGAAAGCGTTCGTGCTGCCGCTCGCACACGTGCTGCTCATCGACGTTTTGCTAGTCCCAGTCGTGTTGGTAATCCTCGTGCTTACCGACGTATTGCTAGTCCCAGTCGTGCCGGAAGACCCTGTCTTGCCGCTCGCATTTGTACTTCTCACCGTAGTACTGCTAGTCCTGTTCAACGACGTGTCGCGAGTCCCAGCCGCGTGGGTAACAAACGGTTTGTCTGTTGCTTTCGTTTATTGGCTTCCTGGCAGTTCCAGCCGATGTACCAGCAGTGCCAGCCTAGGTGAAAGCATTCGTTCTACTGCTCGCACTGGTACACGGTACCGACGTAGTGCTTGTCCTAGTCGCGCTGGTAACACCCGTGTTGTTGCTCGCAACCGTCCTGCTTACCGACGTATCGCTAGTCCAAGTCGTGCCGGTGACCTTCGTTGCGGTGCGTGCATTATTCGCATTGCCCGTGGACATTCCTTTTATCTCGGCCGTATCATGGAGCACGGGGTATTCGAGATGCTGTTGGTTCCCATCGTGTTGGGGATTCCCGCATTCTTGTTCGCACTCGTTCTGTTCACCAGCGTACTGCTAGTCCTATTCGTGTTGGTAATATTCGTGTTGTTGTTCGCGCTGGTACTGCTCATCGTTGCTAACTTCCTCACCGACCTAATTTCTGCTAGTCCCAGTCGTGCTGATCACAGTGGTCCTGGTAATCTTTGTCGAAGTGGTGCTGTGGGTTCCAGCGGAGAAGGGGGAGGATAGGAGAAAAAGAGGAGGGCAAAGGAGGAGCGGGGAACTGTGAAAGAGAAGGATAAGGAGAGGAGAGACAAACTGGTAAAAACGGTGGAGGGGAGGGGAGGGACGGAGGAACACATGAGGAAGCCAACATACGTAGATTTCCCGTCTTTTTCTTGCCAAAGTAAATTCGTTCTCTGAAGCCTATGCTTGGCTGCACGATCGGCAGGGGATGTAATGCCAGTTCACGGTCCGAGAAAGGAACTCTTGAAGTCAATGAGTTCATACAGTAGCAGATGTAACCCCCCAAGGGGCACAAAGTCCCCGCCCCCCCCCAAGTCAACACTCATGCTGCTGCTTGCGTGCGTACGGTTCACTGCTCACCGACGTGCTGAGTTCCCAGTTGTGTTGGTAGCACTCAGGTTGTTGCTCGCATTCGTATTGCGCACCAGCGTTCTGCTATTCCCAGACCTGCTTCTAGAACTCGTGTTTCTTCTCGCACGTTCATTGCTCACCGACGCACTGTTAATCCCGATCGTGCCGGACAACCTCGTGTTGCCGCTCGCACTCGCACTGCCGACTTATTGTTCGTCCCAGTCATGCTGTTAACATCCGTACTCACCGACGTACTGCTAGTCCGAATCGTGCTGGAAGACCTCGAAGTGCAGCTCGCTCCGCACTGCCGTGCTGGTAACACTTCGTCCTGCTGGGAGCACTCGTGCTGCCGGCCGCTGCTGCTGCTCGAGGAGGAGGAGGAGGAGGAGAAGGAAAAGGAGGAGGATAAGGAAAAGGAGGAGGAAAAGGAGGAGGAACAGGAGGAGGAGGAGGAGGAGGAGGAGGAGGAGGAGGAGGAGGAGAACGACGAGGAGGAAGATGCAGTGTAAATTGTACCTCGCCGGATCGTGCGCCCGCAGGATGGCTTTTTCCCCCACTCGGAGCCATCGACCCCTGCCCAAATACATTGTTTTTTACCAGGAGCGAGGCCGAGGGTACGGAGGGCTGTGACGCCCGCCGCGCGAGGCGGCTCACGGGCCCAAATGCTTGCGCCTCGGGTGCGCGCTGCGGTGATGCTACCCCTCGCCGTGCACTGCTGACGACGATCCGGCTTGCTGCATTGAGAAGGCGACAACCCACCCCCACCCCCAGTCCCGACCCCATTTCCGAACCCGCGATCCAGGGGCTCGGGACTGGGGGTGGGGGGGGGGGTTCGGGATCCAGGAATGGAGAAAACCCACCCCCACACTCAGTCCCGACACCCTGGATCGCGGGCTCGGGGGTGGGCGTTGGGACTTGGGGTGGGGATGGGTTTCCGCCTCCTCATGCATGCCTGCTGACCTGGCGTGCCCCGGAGCCCGAAAAGGTTCTTCAGAAGCCAGCCGGTCCGATTTTTCGGGACGCCTGGGGGTTCGGGCACGTGGGGTGTTCAGAAAGGGAGCCGCCTTTGGGGAATCGAGGGGTTGGCATCTCCTCATCGGTGGAAGGCGGCGGAGGTAGAGCAGGGGTGGCCTTCAGCCGGCGCAAGGCGGCGGAAATCAAGGATGCATCCCCCAGAGATGCCAACTTTTGGGGCCCAGGGTTTCTGGAACCCTCCACGCTTTGTTTGGGCACGCGCAGAGGGGGGTGGGGGGATGAGGGGAGGCTTCTCAGAAGTACCCCTCCTCCTCAGAAGGCGCGGCCCTCCTCTGCAGCCGCCGGGCCAGATCCCTCCGAGAAGCAGCCTTTTTCCAAGAATCGGGGGAGCGTAAGGGACCCGGGTTTGCCAGGACTCGGGTTCGCCATCGTTTTCTGACGGCCGCGCCTCGGATTTTGACGAGGAGGAGTTTCGTGGGATGTCTGCAGCGGGAGGCCTCGTCAAAATGCAGGCTCGGCCTGGTCATTTTTTTGACGACCTCGTCGGGTCAACCCGAGTCCCCCGTACCCGGGTCTTACGCCCCCCTGATTTTTCTCAGAAGCCTTTCCCCCTCCGCGTGCGGCCGAGCAGAGCGTCAAAACGTGGCGGGTTCCAGACACCCTGGATCCCCCAAGTCGGCATCTCTGGGGGGTGCACCTGCTAGTTCCGCCGGCCTCCCGCGGGCGGAGCGCCGCCCCCGTTGTACAGCCAAGACGCGCATCAAGAAACCAGATGCTTCTCGTCAGGGTACCCTCCTCCTCTTCCTGCTTTTTGTTTCCTCCTCCTCCTCCTCCTTTTCCTTCTCCTCTTTTCCTTACTGCTCCTCCTCCTCCTTCTCCTCCTCCTCCTCAGGTTTCTTCGCTCCGCGCGCTGCGCGTTGAGTTCCCGCGGCCGCGCAAGAAGCTGCTGCGTTCCGGGTGCTCTCGGTTCCCCCCGTGCGCATCTCGCGCGCGGGTTTCGGGGCCGGGTCTTCTGCGTGGGTGTCTTGCGGCCGCGCCCGCACTGCACACCCGCCGCCTCTCGCCGAGGAGATGCCGATTCCTCGAAGAAGCTTTCCTCCCCCCCACCCTGTCCCACCTCCTGTTTCTCCGCCTCCGCGCTCACCTCCTGCCCTTCCCGTCCTCGCGGGGAGGTTGGAAGGGGAGGGAAGGAGAGGGTGGGGAGGAAGGACGGAGGGAGCGGGGGAGGGAGGGGAGGGAGGGAGGGAGGACGGGAGGGAACTCTCCCCCCTCCCCCCTGCCCCACTGTGCGCGCCGCTGGTCGTGCCTGGGGAGCCCCGCGCTCCCCCTGCGGAGCGGCTGGCGGCCGCCGCGAGGCGTTCGGCTTCGGAGCGGAGCGTCGGCTGCACCTCTTCCGGGAGTCGCCCAGCTGCAAGGACGACACACCTCCTCCTCCTCCTCCTCCTCCTCCTCCTCCTCCTCCTCCTCCTCCTCCCCCTCCTCCTCCTCCTCCTCCGTAGCCATTTTGGCTCAAGGCTAAACGTGTGAAGCTAAAGTAACATAGCGAATCACGATTAGCTTTGGCCCGTCCGTCGCTGTCTCTCGAGAGTGCAGCCCGTCGGGCCGTTGAGTTTCGCGCGCGCTGGAGGCATGGGATATCTGGTGTGTCTCGTCTGTCGCGATGCTGGCAAGACATCATGGATCCCCGACACCAACCCCAGCCAGAAGTGCAAGTTCTGTAACACCCCCTTTCCTGGCCGCTCGAGAGGACAGGGTTCAGGAAAGTATGGTCGCAAGGGCGACAAAGACGGCAAGGGCAGGAGCACAGGCAATGATCGTGTCTTGTCTCCTCCCCGTGCTCGTGCTCATGATCGTGATGTGCGCAATGGTACTGACACTCCCCCAGTTCGGTCTTTGGATGAACGCCTTCAGGCTCCATTGGAAGAGGAAGTGCAGGATAGATTCGGTGAGGATTCTGGCGACGACGGTCTCGGCAGTGATCGTGGTTTTTTGGGCTGATTATGTCGACGATGGCATGGACGCTGATGGCGGCTGTGTTGATACTAATGGCCATGAGCTCTCGGTTGCGCAGGTTGATCAGATTATCAAGGCCTTGCAGGGCCAGTTGGAGTCCCTTCGCTTGCTTCCACCAACCAAGTACGTTCGGGATCAGGTTTTGGGTCTCCAGGAAGAGTTGCAGCATCTTCGTGCACAGAAGTCTGACATGTTCACTGTTCCCCAGAAGCGTGCATTCTATAAGCAGCGTCACCATTGGGCCAGTAAGAAGTTGGATAAGATATCTAGCCAGATTCGTGAGATCGACCGCAAGATTCTTGACTTTCAGGGTGACAAAGATGCCCTCTGTGTCCGTCAGGAGCGTGTTGTCCAGGATATGGCTATGTGGCAGTCTAAGTTGCAGGATCTTCCTTCGAATGAGCCAGACCCCGAGGGTGACACACCCCCAGATCTGTCGGAGGTTGCGGACGTCTTCGCAGCTTCCCAGGCAGACCAGAGAGACAAGAAGCTTGCTCGGGCCTTGCGTGACCTTCAGGGTATCGTTATGTCTGGTTATGCTCCTGTTGTTGTTGCCAGCGAGCCTCGGTCCCAGTCGGAGGAGCCCAGGATGTCTGTCGACCAGCAGGGGGCCCCAACGCGTGTTGCTAGGGCCCCTCCCCGCTTTTCTTCCTCATTGCCACCTTCGCCGAAACGTCCTGCGCACGCCCCTGATGTCGCTGTTGATCCATCGGGACAGTCAGGAAGTAGTACGCCGTTGGCTGCCGCCGCCTCTGCCTCCGCCGACACCCCAGCAGCGGCGGCGCACGAGCAGCCAGTTGCCCAGGGCCCTACGGGTATCAAAAGCCTTTCCAAGGGTATCGAGAAGGCCCTCTTTGTTGAATCTGGCAAGGAGAGTGCCAAGGGCTCCAAAGCCAAGGGCCCGTCTGACCTTTAGCACATCGGCGACCCCGTCCGACAAGCCAGCCTTCGTGAAGAAGCCTCGTCGTGATTGGGCCATTGCCACTGTGAATGTCACCTCCTGGTCTAATGCCGATGTTTTCCTGGAGGCTTATCCTGATCGGTTTGATGCTGTTGGGTTTCAAGAACTCTGTCGGTCAGAAGAGGCGATCGAGTTCGCTGTCAATCGTGCACATAAGCATGGGTTCCATGCGCACCTTCACCCTTCAGTCAGTACTCAGAAAGGCGGCTTGAGCTCGGGAGTGGGTCTTGTCTCACACTACGCCAGGTCCTTCTCTGATGCGGTCTTGGATCCGATTGCTGTCTTGCCCCCTCCGGAGAGATTTATCCTGAAGCTCTGGCATGGGGTTGTTGATGCAGGCATTCCTCAGGCCAATGTATATCTGCACACAGGGGAGGGCGCTGAAGATCGCAACGCCCAGCTTCTGATGCAGGTTGCAGCAGTCATGAAGACTATCTCCACCCCCTTTGTGATATCAGGGGACTGGAATATGTCCCCCAAGGACTTGCAGAATACGGACTTCTTAACGCTCGTAGGTGGGGTCATTGTCGCGCCAGATCGCCATACCTATGAGTCCGCAGGTGCCCAATCGTTGATAGCCTACTTGGTGGTTCACCCCTTGCTTGCGTCCGCAGTCAAGTGTGAGGTCTGGGAAACGCCCCTGATCCCCAAGCACCAGCCTGTGGTTCTCACTCTTCGTGGAAATCTCCACTCTGATTTGGTCTCTGTTTTTCGACGTCCTCCTCATATCCCTGTAATACGGCCCGTGGGGTGTACAAATTGTCCGCCTTCCTGGGATGCCTTTCCTGACCCTGAAGCAGTCAACGCTGTGGAAGACCTGGATCGCCTGACTTCTTGGCTGAAGACGCCTGCTCAGGAGTTGGTTGCCCTTTTCCAGTTGCCAGATCCGCAGGACTACACCAAGTGGGGTGAACGCCCTTCAACTATCCAGATTTCGGTTTCCAGTCTGTTTCCTGGAGGTGTGGTGTCGCCATATGAAGGCAGGCTCTGGAGGTATCTTTCCAACCGTCTTGGCGCTCTTCTGTATCTGGCTGACAAGCAGTTGTGGCCCGCATATCAGAGAGCCTGTCAAGCTCTGCGCCGATATCGCCCCTCGTCGCGTGACGGAGGTCCTCCCCCTGATTGGCCATGGTGGAGGTATTATGCCAATAGGCCTTGTTCCCTGGATCTCGGTTCCATCGATTGGCTGCGTGGCGTCTTGGCTGAGTCTGCGTCTGCTCTGGAACGTGCTGCATCGGCACAGAGATATCAATCTTGGACATCATGGGCCATCCGATCTGTCCAGGAAGGCGGTTCTGCTGCGCACCGATTCGTCAAGGGATCGATGGGTTGGGCATCTTTTGACAAGACCACCCCGAACCCAGACGCCCCAGTCGGCACGCCGCAGCATCATCTTAAGGCGCGAGAAGAAGTTTGGCATTCTATCTGGGATCCCATGAAGGAGCACCCTGATGATCCTTGCCTTGCTCTGGAATTTCCGCCGATACTTCCTGATGACCTTGCATCCTTGCCGCGCCCGTCTCTGGACAAGTACAGACAGATGTGTCGCAGATACAGGGCTCGCACGTCGGTTGGACTGGATTCGATGCATCCTCGTCACCATGCGCTCCTGTCGGACTCGTCTCTTCTGGCCTTGTTCGGCATCTGGTGGGCTGTTCTGCGACTGGGTAGATTTCCCCCCATTCTCGCGGTGTTCATCATGAGTTTGAGACCGAAGACTGACGGCGGCGAGCGCACTGTGGCACTGTTCACGACGTGTGTGCGCACGTTTTCTCGGTTCTTCAGGCACACGTACGGTGTTATGTGGGCGCGCTTACATCCTCGTCCACATGTGCATGGCGTGCGCGGTCACTCCTGTCAAGCATGCGTGTGGCGCACGGGCGTGCCAGCGGAGCTTGCTGCGTCCAAGGGCCTGTCTGTGATTGCACTTATGATCGACATCCACAAGGCTTTTGAACAGGTTCGCCATAAACTTCTCATTCGACGAGCTAGTGAGTTTGGGTTTCACCCGGCACTCTTGAGGGTATTCTTGTCTCTGTATCGATCCCCACGTGTGGTCACGCTGCGCCGAATCGTCGGGGAGTGGGTCAGGGCTAGTAAAACTATTGTGGCTGGTTGTTCCTTTGCCGATCTGTTTATGCGTATTTTATTGATGCCTGAGTTGGATTCCTTTCTTCAGTCTTATCTAAATATGCATCTTGGCCTCGTCGCCGACGACGTCCAGGTCCTGGGGATAGGCACGGAAAGGGAGTTGCTCAAAATGGGTCCTGATGCGTCACACCTTTTGATGAGCAAGCTGACCTTCTCTGCACGTTTGCCACTTTCTGAGAAGAAAATTATGCTCTTGGCGACCGACCCCCAGTTGGCCCAGAGTATTGCAGCTGAAACCCCGCGTCTCGCTGGTGCCGTCAAGTTCTCCTGTCGCAACCTCGGGATTGACTATCAGCTTCGTCAGGGGCGTCGCTCTCGTCCTGTCCTCAATGGTCGTTTGAAGAAAGCCATGTCTAAGGCCCGACGCCTTCTGAGGCTAAAGAGAGCTGGTGCGAAGGTTGCAGGTATTGTAAACACCAACCTGCGGCCCACGGTCATGTACGGCATCGATGTTGTTGGTCTGTCTAGCCATCAGATTCGTCAGGTTCGTACTATATACCACGCTGGTCTTGGCACAGGTAAGCGTCGGTCCGTCACGATGGATTTGGCTTTGCATGGTGTTACGGACCCTGCGGTTGATGCGCATGCGGAAGTTATTCGCCTCTGGACTGTCTCTAGATGGGATTCTCACTTGCCCGTCGGCATGAGAGACCAAGTGTTCCAGGAAGCCTACACCAAGGTGACGCCAGATACCCCGTGGACTGACTTGCAGGGCCCAGGACAGATCCTGGTAGCCACTCTGCGTCGGATTGGGTGGTCTGCGGTCTCGCCCACAATATGGCGGCATTCTCTTGGAACCGACGTCGATATTTCGTCTACGCCCCCTCGTGAGGTGGTTGCATTGGTGACTCGTGACGCGACTGTCTGGGCTTGGAAGCAGGCCTCTGAGCGTCACCCATCCTTCAGTCACCTGTCTGGGTCCCCCTTCCTGCCTGCTCTACTCTCCCTTTTGTCAAAAAGGACTGAAGGATGGGGGGTGCTCCAGCAGCGTGCTCTGGGGGCCTTTATATCTGGGGGCATATACTTTAAACCTCGCTGCCCCATTTGTCAGCTTGTCCCTTCTGACCCAGTGTTTCACACCCTCTACGAGTGTGATGGGCTTCTGGAGTTTCGTCGCTGGTTCGGCCCGACTCCAGCCCTCACACGCTGCATAGAGCAGTATCGCGAGAACCCTGTCTGGACCACTGCCATGGTTCCCGACCCGCGCTATAGCTCCTTGCTCGCACCACCTTTCCCGGACCCTGTCTGGGAAGGTGCCGCCGACGGCACCTTTTTCTCGTCGCCTGCGTA